GATCAAGTTTATTAGTTTCTCTGCTACCTCCCCAGCTCCCGACATTTCCCTGCTACCCTCCCCCAACTTATTTTGCGAAATTACGCCGCTGGCACGTTCACAGAGAAGCGTCCGCAGAGTCTGCTCACTCCGTGATACCAGCCATCGTGCGCGCGGCCTGGAAGCATTTTTGTATGAAAGTAGTTGTGACTAAGTGCAATACTACATTTCAACCGCGAGTCTCTGGGGCTTTTTGCTCGCTCCGCTCAACATTTTAAAAAGATACCAAAGCAATTTGAGCTGGAGTGCTGAAACAGGCAGCGCCTCCAAGTAAGCCCCCAGTGTGAGTCATTTAATTTATTTTACCGTCTGCTGTTATCTTCCTGTTATACAATATTATCAGAGCAGTATGGAAAGAGGAGTCCATGTGCGTGCAGGTAGAGACTCAGATCACTTTTCACCACGGCTGGCCTAAGTTATGCTGGGTCACCGGTGGGCTTGGTGCAGGTTACTTGACGGTCTTCATCATATTGATGCGTACGGCATGTGTTTCCAGTTTGCAAGTAGGTATGTAAGAAGCGAGTCATCGGTGGTCGTCAGCAGTCAACTTCCAAAACCTTTGAAAACTATTATGTGTGAGCACATATTGCGTTATTTTCCTTGTCAAACATTTATCACGCCCTCGTTACCTGAAGTGACCTGACTTGACCTTGAGTCATTTATAGAATAAAGGGCTTACTAGCTTACCTCAAAGATTCACTTTCTACGCTTGGATTTTCCACGCTACGCTTTTTCTACTTTTGGATTTTACCCTATGGATGTACTTTCAAATTGCTGTATTATGTGATTTGTAAAAGAATATCTGATTGAAACCTCTTAGATGTTTCTTTTTTCGTTAACAAGCATTTAAAGGTCCATGCAGAAGTACAGGGAAATGCGATGTTTCACAGTGCAGTCACGCATGCCATAATTTGCGCCGGTAGAAAGAGAAATTGTGTTTCTCAACAGTGCAGCATATAATAAGGGCCATGCGATATAAAATTAGAGGTACTCCACCTTTCGTGATAAAGATAAGATCCTGAAACAAGGGTTTATTGGTTATACAGCTCGCCTATGAAAGAGGCTTTTTTTCTTGACCTGGAACTTGATCTTACCGATTATCTTCACGATGATAGATATTGTTTTTGCTCTACAAAAATGTCGGGTTGCCAATTCCGGCCTTTGCGTCAGCGTCTTGGATTGATTGGCTGCGAAGTTAGCTGCACGGACCATGAAAATAAAACCCAGTGAGTCGTATAGTGGAAAGTGTCCCAGTAGCTCTCGGCTTAAGAAGGTAATAAATCGTGTCCTTTGCCATGGAATGGATATTACAGCACAGCGTTCGGAACTGCGTGAAGTTGTCATGTCACGAAATTGTGTGATGATGAGGCTGTCAGGTCACGAGATGACGTGATGATGAGGTTGTCATGTCACGAGATGGTGCGATAATGAGGTTGCCATGTCACGAGATAGTGGGATGCTGAGGTTGTCATGTCACGAGATGGTGTGATGCTGAGGCTGTCATGTCACGAGATGGTGTGATGATGAGGCTGTCATGTCACGAGATGGTGTGATAATGAGGTTGCCATGTCACGAGATGGCGTGATGATGAGGTTGTCATGTCACGAGATAGTGGGATAATGAGGTTGCCATGTCACGAGATAGTGGGATGCTGAGGCTGTCATGTCGCGAGATGGTGTGATGATGAGGCTGTCATGTCACGAGATGGTGTGATGATGAGGTTGTCATGTCACGGGATGGTGTGATGATGAGGCTGTCATGTCACGAGATGGTGTGATGATGAGGCTGTCATGTCACGAGATGGTGTGATGCTGAGGTTGTCATGTCACGAGATGGTGGGATGCTGAGGTTGTCATGTCACGAGATGGTGTGATGATGAGGCTGTCATGTCACGAGATGGTGTGATGATGAGGCTGTCATGTCACGAGATGGTGTGATGATGAGGCTGTCATGTCACGAGATGGTGTGATGATGAGGTTGTCATGTCACGAGATGGTGTGATGATGAGGCTGTCATGTCACGAGATGGTGTGACCGTACTGTGATCAGTCGGCCTGCATCCGTCGGGCATACATTTGCGGCCCGACCAGGCTCTGCTGCCCTGGCCGGGCCGTGCCCGTGTGCCGGAAAGGCAGGGGTCTGGCGCCAGCCCTAGCCAGCGCTGCTCACCGCGCGGTGTTGACGGCACGTGCCGCCCCTCCGATCGATACACGCCGCCGCCACTGTTCGCAAAGGGAGCCGTGAGAGCGGCAAGCAGCGTCCCACGCCTTCACGTCTGCCGAGGGGGAGACACCGCCGGCCCGCGCCAGGCCTGCAGCCTGCCGCAGGCTGCCCCAAAATCCCTGCAACAGCCCGCCCACCCCCGCCGCTGGATCTGCAGTCTTGCATGACAACCCCGGAATTTGCGGATATCAGCAGTTCCCATAAGAAAGTGTTAGTGTTTTCAAGCCATTCCATGGCTTGCGGCTACCCCGGACTGTCACAGGGTCAGCAGCGGCCATGATAACCTCACGGTGTGCAGTTGTCCCTACACTTAAAAGGAACTGCAGCTGCTTCCAAGCTCGATCATCGATACGTTTCTGGCAGAGGGCACGCGTAGTCTTAGGTTTCTCGCCAGAGTTCACTCTTTATCGATCTTAACGTATCAAGTACGCAAATTTTCAAGATGCTCAAAAGTGTCTCACTCCTTATCAGAATGTTTTGGGGCTAATCCTGCCCCGGATCTTGGGCTGTACGTGGTGAAATGGCTAGAGTCCAGGCATCGCAGTCTCCAGATCCTGAGTCACGGCCCCAGCTATCCATATTTCACCAGCGTCAAGGCGGCAGACATCCTGACACATGGCCGCGTCGGTGGTCCTACAGATAAAGACTCCGACAAATAGCCTGGCAATTATCGTAAAACTTTGGGACCACCCGGTCAGTGTCCTCACTGCTGTCCCGATACGGTCGATGAGAACGCAGCGATGTCTGCATTCCGTCCTTCGAGTCGCAGTGGAGGAGTTCACACGCACCATGGTGCCGTTGACACGGCCATAACCCCAACCAAGACGAGTGACGGTGGTGTCATGCAGCCAGCCTGCAGTCGTCACCACCAAACTGCCAACTCTAGGCGGTTCTCCGGAGCAGGGGCCAATTTCTTACTCGGAACCAGTGAGGCGAAGGTCGGCCGGCTTAAGCCGGCGCGGGAGCTGAGCCAGTGAACTCGTTATGCTCAACAACTTCAGGGAACCATGTTATCGTACATGTAATCGGATTCCGGTGCTGCGCTTGCTTAGTAAGTTATTTGCCTCTGGGCTTTCCTGGGCGCTAGAAAAACAGACCAGATTGGGAAAGGCATTAAATTTGAAAGCAGATTGCTGTGGGATGAGAAAAATGTAAGACCTTGAATGGTTTACTCCCGGAACACCATTCCAGAAACCGTTGAATAACAGCTATAAGCGACTGCGAATGATTAAAGATAATGATGTTATGGACTGCAGGTATTTGAAAGGAAGGGTTTGACGATAAAGTTAATTGATTATTTTTTTAGACTGGTTTGTTAAACATTACATTTTCGGAGAAGGAAAGCGACATTGCATGCCACATTCTGCGAGACATACGTTCATGTCATTTGTGATCTCTCAGCCAAGGCTAAATTTCAAACCGGAGTAAATTGTGAATTTCTTCATTTGGCACCTTTGGAACAGTTTGAATAGGGGCGATCTGACTTATCAACTGCGCTTGATACAGTTGTCTCAACGTGTATTTTTATCATACTGGCTCGCTCCTTGCTCGTTCTACATGTGCCCACTCTCTAACAAGTCTCTTTTAATATTTCAATTGTTTTCTCAGTTTCCCCGGGGCGCGGTTCTGTCTGTCGGGAAGCGCATTTTATTATGAAGACAAAAGTGTAGGTTCTGGCAAATTGCGATTCACAAGTGCTTCATCGCCAAGTGGACTATGTTGGCTACGTATTCATGTCTTCACTCAGAGCGAATCTCACATGCTTTCACTTCTCAGTGTGCGCACACGGGAGAGGTGAGGTAACTCCCAATGGCCAGCGCGTTCCCGTGTTCTTAGCTCAAATGACGTTTGTTCGTCTTCAGTAGACTTAATTGAGTTGCTCGTTCGATGAACGCACTGGTGTTGAGAATTTCCGAAGGAATGCTGCAAACCAATTCAAGTTGGCCCTGTTGACCTACTTAATGCCATCCTAAAATGGACTAATTTGCCCGCTATCTCCCTCCAACGAACATGTTCTCATCCTGTCAGTAGAGTCAGCGGGCTCACGGACTCGACTGACGCCGTCCCCCCGCACGGAGGCGACTGACGCCGTCCTCCGCGGAGGTGACTGACACCGTCCTCCGCGGAGGTGACTGACACCGTCTTCCTGCACGGAGGCGACTGACACCGCCCTCCGCGGAGGTGACTGACACCGTATCCCGCGCAGAGGCGACTGACACCGTCCTCCGCGGAGGCGACTGACACCGTCCTCCGCGGAGGTGACTGACGCCGTATCCCGCGCGGAGGCGACTGACACCGCCCTCCGCGGAGGTGACTGACACCGTATCCCGCGCAGAGGCGACTGACACCGTCCTCCGCGGAGGCGACTGACACCGTCCTCCGCGGAGGTGACTGACGCCGTATCCCGCGCGGAGGCGACTGACACCGTCCTCCTGCACGGAGACGACTGACACCGTTCTCCTGCACGGAGTCGACTGACGCCGTCCACCTGCACGGAGGCGACTGACACCGTCCTCCGCGAAGGTGACTGACACCGTATCCCGCGCGGAGGCGACTGACACCGTCCTCCTGCACGGAGACGACTGACACCGTCCCCCTGTGCGGAGGCGACTGACACCGTCCTCCGCGGAGGCGACTGACACCGTCCTGCACGGAGGCGACTGACACCGTTCTCCTGTGCGGAGGCGACTGACACCGTTCTCCTGTGCGGAGGTGACTAACACCGTATCCTGCGCGCAGGGAGCTGCTCTCGCGGAAGCGCGTGCGACCAGACCTGCTACGACCTGCACGACGGCACGTACGAGTGCGGCTGCCGGCCGGGCTTCGTGCTCAACGACAACGGATACAAATGTGACGGTGAGTCACGCCGACCGAGCTGGGACGGATGAGTCAGGGGGCTGTCCAGAGGATGTCCGGACGGGAGACGAGCAGGGGTGAGAGGGCGAAGAAGTGGAGCGAGACCAGAGAGCGCGGTGTGAAGGGGAGACGGAGGGGAAGCGAAATTAGAAGCAGTCAGGTGTGGTCGCAACTGTGTAATCGCAATTGAGTAGTCGCTATACCAGTTCAAATAGGTTCCTCAAAGCCCAAATGCAATGCGTGTGGATCTGAGTGTATCCCACTTTACGTAGTTAGCATGATATATTCATGCGATCTTTAGCGGAGAGCAATGCTCAGTTTCTTTGTCTTGTACAGTTTAAATCCTTCTAAATATAAACGTTGCTTACGACAGCAACACGCCACCATCAGGCTGGGTTAAGGAGTACCACAGCCCTTGACTGAGCATGACACCAATGGGGCAGGGAAGAACGAATAGCAATGTTTTCTTAATCTAGATCTAGGTATTGACACATTTACGGCGAAAACATCCCCTAATAACATCCGCCAATAACTCGAAGTCATCCGGATTGCCGCAGTGTCCCAGATTCAATTGAAAACCAGTACGACATAAGATTAGCTGGTCTGCACCAGGCTGATAAGCGAATCTGTGTTTCTGCAGTGCTTCAACGGTATTGGGAACCAGCTGTTTGGAAAATCGAATGGGAGTGAGCGTGAACTTAAACCCAATATGTGAGCTTTGTCACCTGTAGCTTTCCCATCCACGAAACTTTTGCTAACACCACAATGCCATCTTTGCCATCGACCGTGTTTTGGGCCAATACGCTCACTCGCTTCTAATGTCGTTGTTTGTGTGGTTCGCAACGCACGAGCCGTTTTCTATTACAAAAAACCGCTACTGGCCAATCCTCCCATCTGATGCGCTTTAGGCGAAGACAAGCGTGCCACAGGCGGGTTTCAATCTTATGGCGAGGAGCGCTCGTGAGCCGGGGGCAAGCGTGTTAAAGCGCGGAAGGCGGCGGAGGACATGCTGTAGTGCGGGAGGCGGCGGAGGACATGCCGTAGTGCGGGAGGCGGCGGAAAACATGCTGTAGTGCGGGAGGCGGCGAAGGACATGCTGTAGTGCGGGAGGCGGCGGCAGACGTGCTGTACTGCGGGAGGCGGCGGAGGACATGCTGTACTGCGGGAGGCGACGGCAGGCGTGCTGTACTGCGGGAGGCGACGGCAGACATGCTGTGGTGCGGGAGGCGGCGGAGAACATTGCTGTGGTGCGGGAGGCGACAGAAGACATGCTGTGGTGCCCGGCGGCGACGGAGGACATGCTGTCGTGCGGGGAGGCGGCCGAAGACGGTGCTGTCGTGTGCGGGAGGCGGTGGCCACCAGCCTCGCGGCCAGCTGGCAGGCTGCAGCTATAAAATCACTATCTCAGCTCGATATTTGCGCAGTGCTTTCAATATTACATGTTCATCAAGTTTGTGGACGCCCTCAATGTGTGTTGCCCTTAATCCAAAGCTCCCTCAGCTATTTCAACATGGAGCTTCGCTTGCGAGTGAGAGAGAAAGAAGGGAGAGAGGAGAGAAGAGAGAGAGAAGAGAGAGAGAGAGAGGAGAGAGAGAGAGAGAGAGAGGAAGAGAGAGAGACAGAGAGAGAGAGACGAGATGAGAGGAGAAGAGAGAGAGAGCAAGAGAGAGAGAGAGCAGAGAGAGAGAGAGGAGAGAGAGAGAAGAGAGAGAGAGCAGAGAGAGAGAAAGAAAGAGGAGAGAGAGAGAGAGAGAGAGAGAGAGAGAGGAGATAGAGAGGAGAGAGAGAGAGAGATAAGAGAGAGAGAGAAGAGAGAGGAGAGCAGAGAGAGGAGAGGAGAACGAGAGAGGAGAGAGAGAGAGAGAGAGAGAGCGAAGAGAGAGAGAGAGAGAGAGAGAGAGAGAGAGAGAGAGAGAGAAGAGAGAGAGAGAGAGAGAGAGAGAGAGGAGAGAGAGAAGAGAGGAGAGAGAGAGGAGGAGAGAGAGAGAGAGAGGAGAGAGGAGGAAGAGAGAGAGAGAAGAGAGAGAGAGAGAGAGAGAG